AGTTATGAGCACGTTTCCCTCCCTGGTAGGAACTATATTAAATTGAAATTGCACGTACATATGCAGCCCACTAACTAAAAGGGCAGAGGACACAAATCTCAACATTTTAGTTCCTCTTTCCTCCTACCAAAAGTGGAGAGAGGAGAGAGGAAAGATCGTAAATAATAAACTACAATGGAACCAAATGAAGAAAACGCTGTATATATAAAGTTAAAGTTGGTCCGTTCAACTACCCCGTGTAATATAATATACTTAACAAACTTGTGTAAGTAATTGGTTTCAAATGCAAATTCCTAATTGGCAATTTAAACCGTGTTATTCATTCGTCTTCATTATGACGAGATAATAATCGCGAATAAATCCTTTGGCTCGGAGATTCCCTCCAATTTAGGTGAGACGGCAAAATTGAGTAGATAACTTATGGGATGGATCCTCCTCTCCAAAAATTCTTGGCTCTCTCCTCCACGTTTGCCATGGTGGGTGACCTTCTTCTTTTAGTAAGTAGTTGACGACAACGCCGGCGACGACGACGGTCACGGGTGCGTGCGTGGGAGCAACAATTACCACGACTTTCCCCGGAAATAGGCTACTTCACCACGGCAAGTGTGTGGTACGTACGGATTTATTTTTTTAAACCCAACATGGTTCACGGTTTATATGTACATTCAGGTTTAAGTTTATCTCTCGGGTCGGTTGTGAATGCCCGGCGATGCGAGTGAGTATATTTGAAGAGATTTTTGGAACAGGAAGCGGAAGCCATATCTAAAACTCGAATCCAAATCCAACAAAATTCACATTTGGGAAAGTTACGACTTTTTTACAATTGTCACTTTCTCCTCCTTGACACAGCTTGAGGAGCACATAACAAAGCCATTTTTGTGCTCCATAACCCTCACACTGGTCGACAGACTAGCCATCATTTCTCCTTTTCAACTTTATGACACTAAGTTTTTAAAAAAAGTGAAGAGTTTTTTGAGGTGTAGGTAGATGCGTAAGTGGCCGCGGAAGCTGGGGGGACATTAACATTGTAGGATAGGGGAGGGCGGGGTTTGTATAACATGGGGAGATGATGCGGATGTCGAACAAACGTGGGGACATTGTCCCCCTAGTTCCGCGGTCACTGCGCAAGTGGGGATAGATACGTAAGTACATAAGTTATAGAATTTAGCAGAGATTGAAACACTGGGAAACACCCAGGGAAAGTTTCCAAGGTGGATAAAGTAATAGAATTATTTTCTGTAAATGTCACGAGAAATTTATAAATGTCAGAATCACTGTCACCTGTTAAGCAGGGCCATTCATAATTTTTCCTATCGGAAAACCCAGAACAGGAATTCATTCCTCCAAAAAGTCCTCCACTTCTCAAAGTTTTATAAAATGAAATATATTACTTTATAAGAGGCGAAATTCCCACGAGGAATCATCTTTAGTTTAACATTCCACCCAATTCCTACCATCCTTCCGGAAATCACAAGCGGAAAACAAACTGTTCCCGAGAGATTGCTCCTAGAAAATGTCACGTTCTTTACGAGCCTCACTTCACTGACATACATGCATACTTACATAGTCACCACGTAAAATAAGGCGAAAAGACAAAACACAGATTTATTCATGACGGAGTGTTAGTAAATGTTGAGATGAATTATAATTAGGTCGCGGCTGCTGCTGAACGAATTACATTTCCGCAACTACAAAAATACACATAAAGCAACCTTCCCTTTGATGTGAAGGCATTACCATTTTAAAAATATTTGTTGTTCCAACTTAGAAAAATACGGCGCAGCACGTGGACGTGGACTTTGGGAGTGTCTCTCACAGCATTCAGCCGAGAGAGGAAAAGTTCGTGATGGATTATCGTTTCGTGCCCAAAGTGGAAAAAGACAGGAAAAGATCGAGAAAGAAGGAGAGAAAGCGAAAAACAACTCGAGACGAGATGCGATGCTACCAAAAACATTAGTGCGGACGACCAAACCACAACATACCTGTTGATAACCACCATCACCACCTTCATTGAGATTGAGACTCATGCTTTCTTCTTCCTTTTCATGTTGAAGAATAGAGATGGACACGACGTTGTTGGTCAGTCCGGAGGTGTCCATTCCAACCAGCGTCGTAGTGTCACCATCACCACTAATGCCATGTTCATTATCACGACAACAGCTCGCACCACTCACGACGACGTCTAATCCACCACCATGACCACCTTTCTCCAACTGGTCAAAAGTATCAAAGTGCTCGAAAGAGCTCCATTTTCTCACGTTTTCCCACAAATAGAGTAACAGCACCATGTCGGCTTTGATGCGTGGAAAAGTTTTTATTATGAGATGGACGACGACACAGATATGTGGCATGTGTTGGGTTTTGAGATACTTTATCCGATACGATACAGAAAGAGACACGTTAATGCATCGAAAGAAACTACTTTCCAAACAAAATGCTATGGGAAAGTTTTGGTAAATTAGGTTCAATGATGATGATGATGATGGTAACGATTACGGAGCTACTTCAGACTTGCGGAGGAGTTTGTCACCCCTCTCAAAATGGTTGAATCACCGCACTAATTACAAAATTAGGAGTTGTTACTCAATAATAAATTTTATTAGGGTTGTTGCCTCCTCTACTTTCTCTATCCGCACCGGTGAACAGTCGCTCGCGTGCCGTTCTTCAAGTCTCAAAAGTAACTAAAACTGCAGTTGCGAAACTTTCTCCTCGGTGTATGTACGAAATCCTGTCCACGTATTGCTACCACCTCCACCTTTATTTTATTCCACTCATTCTGCAATTTACAACTTTCCCGTACAGGTAACTATTCGGGACCCAACGGTGAAATAAAACGCAATTAACTGCAGAAATAGAGAGAGATTTGCGTGAATGGTATGTATCAGTAGTGGGGTCGTTGCAATTCAAGTGTTCTTCTTCTCGTATTTGGATTGCTTCTCAACTGAAGAGTGAGTGCTACCGAACCGCTTGGGACTTTCTCTGTTTTTGTAATAGTAGCACCAGCCGCAGCACCAGCAGCAACAGCACCGTTTGAGTCTCAGGCAACGAATAGAGCACATTTCCACAAACAACCAGCCAGCCACCAACTAACCCAACAAAGAACGAGGAGAGAGAGAAAGTCTTTTATTGCAGCGACGGACATGTTCCTCCTCCTCTCTCAGCAGCAACGTGGCCGCCGTGTGGAGAAAGTTACTACATGTTGAGGCCAACATCCACACAATTCGCAACGTTATGTGAACTCATTCAGACGTTAAAATGCTAAAATGTAGAAACCTTACGTTACGTTGCATTGCTGGCTTGGCATGTTGAATGAGTGAGAAGGACAGGGTGCGAAGAAGAAGGCCCATTGTTATCCGGTAACAATAGATCTCTAGCTGTATTATTAAACTTGATGAAGACCGAAGGCAACAGAGTGGATTGAATTTATGGCGAAATAAATTGTGTGATAATTCCGTGAGTGGATTCATTCATTTAATCCGCAACTGTAAATATGTACAAGTTCGGGATACAGACAAATTTTATTCGGAAATCGTGGCTGGTACAATTTTATTATTTTTTCCCTGCTTTACGACTCTGCCTACCTCAGTTCAACTACTCCAATTTCACAGATGCATGCAGATATGTACGTACGTAAAGCTGACATAAGTTGAACGACATACACAGAAAGAGATGAGAGACATGGATCTGAAACCCTGGGATCAAAACCATTCTCAGCTTTGGCAGGCAGGAGCTTGTTCAGATGTTGAAGAGAGAGGAAGATGAGCATTGTATAATTCGTGGTCTGTGGTTTGTCTTGAACTTTCATCGTCCATTTCACTTTAATCATATTCATTGCTTTCTCCTCATGTCATCATCCGTACCGACGAATGCTATCCATGGAATGAAACCTATATCTATCGGTGTGTGTGCCCTTCGTGGCATGGCGTGGCTGGTTCTTCCCCTCTACTTTCTTTTCCTTGATGACGCCGCACTTTCTCCGCTCTCTGGCAGCAAACTCAACTTTCCAGTTTTTTGATAGTTTATTTGATGCTCTACATTTATCCCTGAGAGAGAAAGCAGAGGAGGAGGAGGAGACGGCGGGTATCATCATATCTAGATGTGCCCAAGCTAAACTTTAACCAAGATTATCGCACACAGATGTGAGTCCATGGAACAGAATGGGATGATTTTTATTATATTTTATTCAGTTCAAATGGTGCAGTCAAACCGTTATGGGGAGTATTACGGTCATACGTTATTGGAATGATGGTTTTGATTATGATGATTTTTTATTGTGTACTCGAATCCTTTTTTTGACTGTACTACTTTCTCCTCGTTAGTAAAAAAAAAATATCATAAATATTAAAGAGAATTTATTCAATTTCATCAAAACTGAATAAAATTATGGGCATGATAAAAGTGAAAGTTATGTAAGTAAGATGGGAAATGAAAATAGAATTTTCATTGCTTTTTGATTTTGAATTTTGCTACCCCGACCAACCATCTTTTGGATAAAAGAACTTACCCAAAAGTCGGGGACGAGTTGATAAATACTTTTTAAGCCGGAGAAAGAGAGAGAGACCAAAGTTTGTTGGACTGTCGGAATCATTCTTGTCATGGTTGGTTGGGTGATTGCGAGAGGAGATTACAACACCGCTGCCGTGGATGGCAGAATATTATGAGAGTTTTCTGTCGAAAATGCGATGGGAAAAATGAATCCTGTGCTTATATTGCAATCAAAAACTAAAATTCTCGCAAAGTTTTGAGACCTTCCAATCCAAAAGTTTTGATCGTCATTAAGCCTCCGTGCTACTAATGCGTATTACCACCTATGGCGTATGGACTGGTCTCATTTTCTTGTCTCCCCGAATTCGGGTGGTGGTGGTGATCAATGAAGCGAAAAGAGAGCAGAGCTGCTCCCGGGGTGGAATTAGGTTCACTAATGCGAATTGGGTGGTAGGTGGTAATTAAAAGATTGCCGTGTCTGCGGGTGAGAGAATATATTTTGAGTGGGTGGTCTGGTCAAAGTCAGAAAGAGATAAGGTGACGTCAGGAAACACTTAATAATTTAGATACTTAGGAAGTAGGCTTCCTGTCCGGTTTGCTGTTTGTGGAACATGTTTCTTAATGTATTATGCAGAGCAAGTTCAGTTAACAAATTTGTAACGGGAAAACGGTCGAAAATTGTGGCAGGTTCAAGAGATTATCAATTTTCAGGTAGAAATTATGTAGTAATGAGAAACAGTTGAAAATCGTATCACTGTGAGTAATGACCAGCCATTGAGCCCCGGATTTGCATACCTACTCACTCATTAACGTGGGGAATAATTGAATAAACCGGATTTGTTCGACCTTGGTTGAATTTTAGGTAGGAGACACCACAACATCATCACAGTAACAACAGTGCATGTGACTGACGTTTTTTTTCAGCAGTAAAACTTCACGTGAGAGTCGATCTTGTAAATTTTCATTGTTGCAGAATCATATAAAAAGTCTGGTATTTTTCTGATTTGTTGGAGATTAAAGTCGGTAGGCGAAAATTTCGTGCAAAATATATACGTAGCCATAAAAATATAGGTAAGAGGCCCTTTTATGTTTCCGTGTAATACAAAAATATTAATAATTGATAATAATTGGTAATAATTAATAACTCAAATTTTACTCTATTTTCAGAAATATGTCGACTGATATTTTTCTCAGCTAGAACTTCAAATAAAATATTAAAGTCGGTAGACGAAAATTGCGTGCAAAACATATACGTAGCCATAAAATACAGGTGATACTAAAAGTAAATGTTTCATCTTAGAATATACAAAAATTATTAATTTTTTGATAATTCATAACCCACATTTCAGAAATATGTCGACTAGTCGCATCCTTCGCCCACCGTTCACTCTCGCCACTGCCCGGGAGAAAGTTTCTCTAGCCCAGAACCTGTGGAATACTCGAAACCCGGAGAAAGTTGCGTTAGCTTACACTCCGAACTCCAGTTGGCGCAACCGGGACAAATTCTTCACGGGGAGAGACGCCATCGTGGCTTTCCTACGAGACAAGTGGACCCACGAGCTGGATTACAAACTGGAAAAATATCTCTTTTCTTTCAACGACAACAAAATTGCGGTCCACTTCCAGTACGAATTTCATAATGGGAAGGGTCAATGGTTTAGAACGTATGGGAATGAACACTGGACCTTCAATGAGGATGGTCTCATGGAAAAAAGGGATATGAGTGCGAACGATGTCGAGATCAAGGAGAGTGAGAGACTTTTCAAATAAGGGGAACGATTGGGACGATTTTGATTGAAAATTTTGGTTTTGGTTCACAATTTTGGTTGAACAACTAATTAAATAGTTTGAATTTCCCTAACCATACACCACTTTGAAATATTTTCATTATTATCAATTCTAAATTTACACATATTTTTATAATTTCCTAAATAAATTACTTAATTGTGTATGTTTCCTACAAAATTTCGAATAAATCGAGTCATCCTCTCATTTGTAAATCGTACCATTTTGCAAGAAATCTTATTACGCGTACCATTCTAAAATGTGCGATATCCACAAATACATACACGCATAGTACTTTGACCCCTTTTCTCCTCTCTGCTATAAAGCATCTCACTTTTTTTAAACACATGGGAAATTTCTGGGACAAAGTTCCGGAGAATTTAACTAGAAATAAAAAGGCACATATATTATTCAGTCCAGCAGCGAGATTTTGTACATGATTGTGTTTTGCGTCCCGTCCAATCCACCAACTGCACAACTATGTACGCAGCTCGACTTCATCTCCCTCCGAGTTCTTCTTCTTCTTTAAGAAGCAGGAAGGAAATAGTCTAAGTGCTCATTAATGTTGGACGGAGTCTTCTTGCTCCCACTTTTACTCTTATCCTGCTTGTATCGTACCGACCATTGTCTAAATTTGGGAGGAGGAGGTATCACATATCGCATCCAAATTTTTTGCGGTTTCGCATATCTGAGAATCGCTCACTAATTCATGAAGGAATTTCGGATTTTCTTTTTTTAATTAAAAATGTTTTAACTATGCATGCATGCATGCATTTACTTACTACGTACGTCTTGGACAAAGTTTATGAACAGTTTGGTCTACAGGGATGAGAAGGGGGTGAGAACGGAAAAGTATTGTTCCATAGTTGACCATTGTGTTGGGGCACAATGAGTTGATAAATATTAATTTCCGCTTCCCATTGACATCTCGGAAACTTGAAGAGTTCCCTGGAGAAAGGAGGGAGGCTTTCATTCAATGCAACAATGTTTTCACGAGGCGTAGTAAGAACTTGGGGAAAAGGGAAAGTAGAAGTTTCCTATCAGAACCATTAAGTATTTAGAGAAAGGTTTTATCCCAGTGATAGGTTGTAAATTGGACGTATTTAATAAATTGGAGGTAATTATATTACCTCCAATACGGGTGACATAAGATAGGGGTTTTTCAAACTCACAAAGATCGGGTTTTTCGTCGATCCACTTTAACAAATTTGATTTGGTAATTGAATAAATGTTGGTCAACTCTTATTAAATTTTGGTCACAGTCTTAAGAAATGAATGATGTTTTTTTAGGTCAATACAAATTACTCAAAGGAATGAAATAGGAGGAATCTGACGGATAATCTTGACATGATCTTGGTGACGTTTTGGACAAATTTTCAATGAAAGCAGAAAAGAAAGCGAGAAACTATAACGATAAATCACAAAAATTTGCTTTCAAGGTCCATAAGTACGTCCACAAGACTTGCAAATGCGTATCTAAGGTTCAGGTGGGAAAATTGTATGCAATTTGTCCCCCGGGTGCTGCAGGAGGTTAGTATCTAATCAGTAATCTTTAATTACTGCAAAAGACAATCAAACTGCATTCATTACGTATGCATCAAAAATGTTGAATTTTTCATCCACTTGTACCAAAAAATTAGCTACATCCTCAAAAAATGAGACCACGACTAGAATCCAGTCTATTTATGTAATTCTTCCCCACAAAACTTCAAACCCTATACGCCTTACTAATTCCTCATCACACACGATAAGCCGAAAACACAAACAAGTAGAATTAACCTACTTTATCACGATCAACAAGCCCTCCTTATACGTACATATCTTTGACGTTGAGTGAAAGTGGAAGTGCACCCCAGAGCAAGATTCATGAGCGGATTGGTATGATAATTACCACCGCAGCTGCCTCCGCCGCAGCATTATATGTCCATTGTTACGTGCCTAAACCCTCCCTCCTTTGGGCGATGGAAGCCAGACCAAACTACTTTTAGAAGCAAAAACAGGGTTATCAGATTCATCTCGACTCATTTCATTGTTCCGAGTGGTGGAAAACCAGGTGAAATTTTAACATCCAAATTCAGCCAAGAGATAAAAAGGAAGGATGTGTCGTGGTCTGGCCTGGGATGAATTTCATTTTCATTTCAACAACCCACCACTTGAGCCACCAGTCTTTACTGTGGTGGTGAAGTGGCTGCGGTTAAAGTTGGTCCACATCCACATTCATTTAATTCTACGTAGAGTGGCCGATAGTGAAAATACAGGAATTTCAGGAAGTGAGAGAGTCACGATGTCCTTGTTAGTTTAGAATTACATAGAAATTGTTTCAAACTGTGGCAATGCAATGTCGACATTTATTAAAGTTCGATTTTTGGTTCGTTCATATATATGTTTGGGAAAAGTGAAGTAAGTAAAAAATTCAATTAGGTAAAAAGAGTGGATTAACTTCCGACTAAAAATAGATGTACATATGACGTGTAGCGAGCGAGGAGTGTGTAGGAGGGAGTTTAGGTCCCTAAGTATGATGACATATGGAGATTATCCGTGTTCATCCTGTCAAGAAAAACGTCACCCGATGACAAATCCCCATTTCATCGAGACATTTATGACGTCCAAATTGAATTCATTCGTTCTTTTTAGTACGAATAAAATTCTGATAACTCGATAACCTAACTTGCGAACGCTCCATTTCCGAAAAGCCGGTGGTGGTGCAGGGAGGTGGGAGGAAGAAGGAAGAGTAAGGAACTATCCAGGTCAGGATTAACTTTCATTAAGCGTATTCTTCGCCTTAATGAACTCCCAGATCAAGCCAAGGACTGCGGAATGACTTGCACATACATTCATTTCATCGAGTCTTTGACTTTCACTCAACTTTCTCCAACCCACTTTCACTAATTCAACAGAGAGAAGAGAGGAAGAGACCCAACCATAAAATGCAGGGTAAATATCACATTATTCTCTCCTACTTCTTTTACATCCGCTCCCCTCATTTGCATAGCCTTGGACTTGAATGATAATCTTGCACAATATGAATGAGCAAAGAAAAGAATGACAACGAGACCTTTCACACTATGTAAAATAACTCTGCAAAAAATGATTATTTTAATTCAGCCGTAATAAAATAAAGGGAAAAGGGGGCATTTGAATTTATTGTTAATGTGAGACTTAGGAGTATCCAACATCATCAACACTTTCTCCGATGAAGGAGCACCAACTCTTCACATTCACACTTTGCATTCATTTCTCCAAGACTTATAATTTGCAATTCCTATGTATCCATTCCTGCCTGGTTGGTAAATCTTGTACAGAATCTTGAACGACATGGACATGGAAACTTTAGAGCATAATCCCCCCTTAACGAAGAATCCCGTCTGTTGTGTACTCATTTCACTCACTGCTTTTCACTAAGCAAGACTTGAGTCTGAATAATGTCTTCGTTAGTTCATTTGCCTCCTTGCTGCTCAAGGTGAACGAAACAATTTCGCTTTCTCTTCTCTCTTTGGCATCTTGAGATTTGGTATGAATTTCTCCGCCTCGCTAAACAAAAGGCAGGCCGAATAACCAATTTATACAAGGAATGCCATGAATTTAACGTATATGCGAGTAGTTAGTTAGTAGTTAATCCTTCCTACGCTTAAACTCTGCTCGTTAGCGTTTTAACAGCAGTATGTTACGTAGATAGCTTTGTTGTTAAGCCCTTCAAATTTGTTGACTTGGATGGACGAGATTATTAAGATAGTAGTAAATATAACCCGCGGAAATAATACCGGTCGGTAGTAATTTTATGTGTGCAGATTCATAAGTACAAAGTCTTCTTTGTGACTACGGGGAAATGCAAATGTCTCAAATTTATGAGTTCTTGTGTGGTCTCAAATGCATTGTTTTTGAAGTCGCGTGATGATGGATGGGCGGCGCATGTATGTGTTTAATAATTTATGGAAGGTTGACGTATTTTTAGGATTCACATGAATTTGAATGGAGGAAGTAAAAAGCTAAAAATGCGACCTGGACGTGATTTGCCGTTAGCTACGTAACGTGAGCAATGCAGTGTGTTACACGGTAAAGGAGTGTCTCTCTTGGGTACGTATGTCTTCTGGATTTGTTTCGTTATCCTGCTCTAAATTTTATGAAGCGTTATTGTCATGTTTTTGTTTCTCTAATCCAAAGTAGAAAAGCAGCGCTGGGTTCCGTTTTGTTGTGTGCGTAACAAAAAGAAAGCGCTGGATCCGGCATTGTTCAAGAGGCAACTTGGAAAAGTTTCACATTTCAGGAACAGACATTCATTCAGCAGCACGCCCAACAATGCCGAAATGTCATCAGAGAGGCAAGTTTGTGGCAAAGGGAGGAGTGGGTGGGAGAAATGTGGGATTGGACCTTTATGAAGAGTTAAATAGTTTGTGCATATATTTATTGGTCGGCTGTAGAATAATGGAATTAGGAATTTTGCATGGTGGGTAGAGTCAATTATTAAATTAGGACAATAACAAATTTTTGAATGCATACATAGAAAATTAATACAGAGAAAGTTACGACTATAATTTATTGTTTGGATTACCTGACTTGCCGTTAAAAGTGGATCCAGCTCATTGTCCTCTTTTTATTTATGTATGTACATGAATGATTTATAATCGTATCAAGCACAACAATGGCATGCCATTTGCAGAACATATTGATATTCACACTTCACTAAAAATGCCCATAACTCTTCTTCCATTATTTCCTTCACACACAGTTGCAAACCGCTCACATAACGAAATTATATTCAAAATCAGGCAGCACCATCAGATCTTTTTTCACCAAATACTCAAATACGCAGCAACTTTCCCCTGTTTCCACTCGAGTGTTTCGTGATGATGACGGAATTCAGACAAATTAACAGCCTCTCATTAACCTCTGGTGAAAAGTTCACGTCCTGTTTTCACTACTACTAGATACACAAACAGAAAGAGAGGAGAGAAAGTACCCAACTTGAAGTGAGGGTAATTACACTTCAGTCATTTTCTCACAGAGAACACCAACCAACCAACCTTTCACTCCTACCAAACCCACAGGTATATTGATGACGACAGTAAATAAATGTTTGTTCAGGCCAGGGAATTGGTTTATGTAGTCGTTACTTTCTACTTTCACCGACTTTTTCGTCACCTCCACCACTCAAAATGAGCAGCTAACTCAACTCTGCACTTCCATACTGAACAAAACAAAGTTTTTTTCTTATCAGAGAAA